AGCCCCAGGAGACCGTTGTACAAATGCAAATCAAACTGTTGGGAGTTTTAGTTTAAAGCAAAGTTTCGACCAAATATCAATATAAACAACGGAGCCCCTCCAAGGAAAATCCACATATTAACCATTCCACTGTTTTTGGCTTATCAGTTATTTGGTTTACTCTTTAATGTAAAACGTGGCACAAAAAAAAGCCAAACTATGCTTTACTTACATTTTAGTGCCCACTTTACTTCAAACACAGGGCATCGATAAATTCCATGCCATGCTTATATGATTTTTACAAAAAAAGGTCACATATACTGTTATTCAATGCAAGGGCTCAACTGTCTTGTTAGCAAAAATGTCTCAAATTAGGGGTTGATGATATGATGAAAAAAGCCCCAGCAGTGGCATATTTTTAAAAAACTATGTACAGTAACTTTTATTCAGCATTTTACATAATGCACTGGACTAAATAAATTATAAAGGACTACATAGTCCCTTTTGTCAGTGTTTTTTACTGAAATTTCTCATGATAACTATTAATATATTCCTATTTATCTGAAATATACTCAAATTTTGAAATTGGTGGCCAAAAGCATATTGCATCGCTAAAAAACAGTAGTAGCCACCTTGAAACCTGAATTCTCTGTACTTTTATCCATTTTTATAGATAGCAGTATGTCAGAAACCACACTGAGCTTACAATACAAAACTCAAGGCTGTAAGCTAACATTATTTGATAGCTACATTAGCTTTGTAGCTCCAGCGCAAAACTAAAGGAGCAAACATGGCTGTCTTGGCTGATCAGCTACATTTAGGGTAGGGGACAATTAGGAAAATCTGATTTTTGGTGGAACCATTGCTTTAAAAGGGACAATTCAAAAGTGCTAGGAAATGAGAACTGCTACTTTGAGATTTCCACTGTGTTCAACTGAGAAGGATAATCTAGCCCACATAACAACCATACTACACTGATCACTGATGCAATACTTGGTGTAATGACTACCCAAAAAAAACTGTTTGCTCATACATATAAAAATGATTAAGGCACTGACTGGGGCACTACTGAGCAAACCTGGAAGCAAGATAAACATTTGCTCTCCTGCAAGTTCGGACAGGCCTGGAGGATCGGATATGGCTGTATCAACACCGTAACTCAAACCTGACTACCAGATGAATCTGAAGCTAATCTCCAGGGCCATAAAGTTTGAGAAAGATTGCCAAGGGCTTCGGAACAAACTCCCACGCAGTGTGAAAGCAGCATGCAGCGCGAGTGGAGTGAGAGTAGTTAATTAGAAAATCTGCCGCTACACGTGTTGTTTTTCACCCACATCTCGGCTCAGAGACTCTAAAGCTAAAACTGAGGGTCAAGAGTAGTTCAAAATCCCAAGTGATGAAACATCGCTGTCTAAAATAAGGCTCTGAGACATGGAAATAAACAACTTCTGGGAATGTTTTTTCCCCCCACTACATTTTCTGAACCATGTAAAACTCAGGAAATGATGTAGTATAAAAGAAGGATTTGCAGAGTTAACAAATGGTTAATCTTCTGGGAAACCACTAAGTACAGGTCGATAAACGCTACTCGGCTTCTTGTTCAGCATTACTGATTTACAGTTACAATCTTATACTGAAGGTCAGTGCAAATGGGTCAGCTCAATCTTCACTTGGACAGCTACTCTGGTGGTCTTCAGAAGCTAAACAGTAGCTGTTCATATGCATGTAAAGAGAGTCTACAGTCTAAGAAAGTTTGTAAGTTCAAAGCACAGACAAAGCAAGTTTACATTTCATTATGCAGAATCCTAAGTCCATTAACTTCATTCAGTAGGAGGTAGGACTGAACGATTTGGGGGTAATATATGTATAATATATGTACAATTGCAAAGTATTGCAACCATTGCAACCATTGCAACTGAACTGTGATCATTTTCTATAAAGTAAGCTCCCAGGTCTTTACCCCACAGGAAGACCAGGGGTCATATTACAGAAACTTCTTGAGTCGGAAATCTTATCTTATCTGCTTAGTCACCATGACAACTTACATGACAACATACCATATTTATTGTACATTTACACTCAGAGTTGTATGAAAACCCAACACTACCAAAATGGTTTTGTGGCAATAAAGAATTATTATATTATAATACGGAAGTATTGTCATTATTATAATCATATTATTATTATTGAGAAGAGGGTGCTTCTCAGAGCAGGAGGGTGCTCAAAGTTTGTGTGCAACTAATGGACTGGTCAGAAACCAGCAAACAGTCAAGAGGCAAGAATTACCCAGAATACTAAGTGTATCAAACTGAGTCACTTATTCTTATTGCTTCTCTTTCTTTGGATTTGGATTATGTTTAAAATCAACAAGATGGACAGGACTATAGTGCATAATACTAACATCTCCACAGGACTTTCCGCTGTTCTGAGCTTTAGCAGGAGGGCGTCTTTGAGCCTGCATGGCAGTAAAGGCACAGAAGCAGACTGGAGCAGAGATGGCACGACCGCCTGGACACGACTCTACAGCTGGCCTTGCCAAGTCACAATGTGACTTATTCATTACCAAGAGGCTGAGAAAAGGCCCTCCGTCCTATTAAACACACAGTCATTCTCTTTGTCACACTACTTACACACACATACACACACTACCCCCTCATACACAGGCTACAAGTAGATTCCCATAATTACAGATCAGCTTTCACATGTATACACCATTCATTTCAGGCATAATTAACACCTAACTTACACATAGTAAAAATTATTGTTATTATTACTACTACTACTACTACTACAGCAGGCAGGCAAAAACTGCTCAGTTTCTTGATAGTTTGATATATTTAACCTTTTAAACTCCTTGGAACCACCAGTGGTTCCGGTACTGAAAATTCACCCACACAAAGAGCATCTAAGATTTTTGGCTTTTAGCAGTAAACTGTGTGCATACAGCAATATGTGTGATCATGAAACACATGTTCTGTTAATTTGAGGGGAAATTTTACAATAAATAAATAAATAAATAAACAAACATTTATTTCATGCAGTTACTGAATAATTTGCCTGACGATTTGGTCAAAATTTGGTGAATTCAAAAGGAAAAACCAAAATATACCCACGAGCACAAGAGGTTAAAGGGATCAGTTCCTTCTCTTCACTTAAAAACGAAAACTACAAAAAATGAGGACTTCCTCACTAATTCCAACACATTTTTATGTGTATACTGACATCGAATTAAAAATATTTAATAAAATCACCAACATTTGCAGGCACCCTTGCTTAAGGTGGACATTTTTTGCCAGTTAAAAAAAAAATGATGATAGAAATGCATTTGCAGAATCACATAAATGAAAACAGAATAAACTGATTAGAAACTGATGAAAAAAAGAAAATTTTCATCTTATCAAAGAAACAGAAGGTGCTCGCAGCTGATCTTGAGCTATGGAGCCATATTTGTCTTCTCGCTCTTACGATGTAAAATACAGCCATAAAGTGAACTCTATTCTTTTGTACAGCAATGATGGAAACTTATCAATTTATTGCTAAGCATTTCAGTTATTTACGTTAATTTAATTTGACATCTGATTGGAAACCTGGCAACTCATCATCACTACAAATGCACATTTTTGACCGCCTATGGACCACCCACACACCACTAGCCCCTCCTCACAACACACAAACAGTGCTATCCTCCTTCAACCTCCATTCATTTGGGATGGAATCCTCTCTTTGACCCATTCACAAATCCTACAGCGTAGATTCTCTCTGGACACCATCTGTTCTGAACCTGCTTTCAGTCATTCCCTTCTGTTCACCAGCCCTCAATTCCAGGCTACTGTCCATTATGAGTAATTCATAATTTATAATTATAATAATTTTAACAGTGTATTAAAACCTAGAGCTATCGCTGATACACCCCTCAGCCTCCTGCAAGGGTCTCATTTACCGTCTTTTGTGGAAACTGCTGTCAATGAGGAAAACTAGGAACCTGGGTGCATCCAATCAGAGTGAAGTGGGTGGGTGGGGGAGGTCAAGGCTTATGTTATGCATGTCCCCACACTCAAATGACTGGGCTTTTTTATCGAGCTTGAAAACATGTACTGTCTACACTATCTGTACTAATCCACACGATCAAGGGCAGCACTCACACTAGCAGTGTGCTCACCTTTACTTGAGGGCAAACAGCCTCTGGATTTTACTGTTCTAGGTGGCGTGTCTATTTGGGATAAAGTCCAACTCTACACAGGCCGGATTACATCAGCCCCTGACCCGGCTGTACTATAATCCCAAATTAAAAGGCAGAGATTGGCAGTTGGCAGCAGTGAGATAATCTAGCCCTGTGGCAATCTCTGGCATCATGCCACACAGCCAAGTCGATTGTCTGTGCTTTTGTCTCTGGTCAAACATGACAGAATTAAGCACACTACAGAAAATTGTCAACTGTTGGCAAAACTGAACATTCATACAGAACATGTTGTCCTTCTTCATTTATTTTCTGTGGAAAACGTAGCTCAATCCTATTAAAATCTGAGGCAGCAACAGGGCCAGATATATTATGCCACGTCAAAGCAGATTAGAACATGGCGTGCCAGGAGAGAAGTAACGATCAGGACGCTGGCAGGGAAGCACCAGCGGCAATCTGGACAGGATAGTTTTTTTTTGGCTTTCTGACAGTAGTGGTTGGTGTGGGACAATTTCTGACATCAAGCAGAAAGCAGGTCATAGACAAACCCAGAAACACACACAAAAGAAAAAAGGTGTTCATGTGCCTGACCCAGAGTCTTTTTTCGCCCGGTGGCGTGAGGGGGTAATTACGGGGCATTTGATGTCTGAGAACATCACCCTGAGGCTCAGGTGACTCACAAATGGGGCAAGAGAACACAGCCTCTAAACACAGAGCACAATAACATGCGCACATACGCACGAACACGCACCTATTCAAACCGGCCGAAAGATAAAAACCTCTCCTTCATTGTGGAGTTAATAGCAGGGCCACATGCTGCGTGACCTGGGTGCTGATTGCTCACCTGAAGGGCAGGTATGAAGCGTTGGAGCCGGAGATCAGAGCTCTGTAGGCCTCCTCCGGCGTCTTCTTCAGGTAGATCACCTGGAAGAAACAAAAAGATGAAATGTAATTAGGAAGGAAGGAAGGAAGGAAGGATGAAAGGAGATGAGTGAAGTAGGGAGGACGGAAGCAAGGAAGGAAAAGATGAAAATAAGGAAAGAGAGAGAGAAAAAAAAAAAGGACAGAAAAAGAAAAAGAGGTCCCCCGGGCCCCGATGACAGCCGCGAGAGCTGGCGAGAAGGCTGGGCCCGAATCCTTAACACCACCAAGGGACGCGAGTTACGGCGGGGGGAGGATGTCAGCCAGCAGGGACGGGGCAACGACAAAGGCCACGAGAGACATGAAGGTGGGATGCGAGTCCCGAACTCCACCGCCCCCAAAATCACAGCACAGACCTGAATCAAATGCTGCTGTTTCGGTCATAAACTGTAGATGAATGATCATGAGTCAGTTGCTCTGTCTCGTGATTTCCTTACACTGACCGATAAACCTGAGGTAAACTTCACCTCCTCTGAGGATGATGAGCACCCTCATCGCTCTCTCATCCCTGCACTAATTACGCCCCCTCCCCCCTTCTGGGGAGAAGGTGACGGAGGCAGAATGTGGCACAGAGATGACACTCGGTGGATCAGCATAAAGAGGCTTTCTCAAGCTGGGACGACTTGTCACGGTACAGTGTGGCCGACGGACGGAAAAGGTCACTCTCTCACAAACACGCTGCGGGAGTCGGCGACTCATCTCTGCACTAACACCTCTCTCAGACAGAGAGATCGAGAGAACACGACAGAGAGAGAGAGAGAGAGAGAGAGAGAGAGAGAACGAGATCATTCTAATGAGATTTCAGCTCATCGACAGCTCAGTAGGCTAATGCTGGTATCACGAAGACTCCAGAAGATTCCAGTACAGCTATGAAACATACAACAACTAAGTAAGGCTTTATAATCAGATAACATTTTTTTATATAAATAAGATCTGTTTCATAAGAGAGGGACAATATTATATATCTTACTGTATTGTTCATTATAAGCCTCTCAATACAAAACAAACAGGCATCAAACAACACATTCAAGTGGAGCAAACAAAGAACTCAGTTTAATACAGATTATACTGCATGAAATATCATAAAAATTAGACAAACAAGCCCACAATGAGGACAGACCATCCCTCCTTGGAAAATATTTGTCACCTCAAAGCACTTTCCTCACAATATCAGCTCATAAAATACTTTTATAATGTTGAATGAAAATGGAAACATTAACATAAGGAATAAGCCATTAATTACTACCATATCGTATCGTTCCAAAAAATGGATTTGGTGAATTATTGCATCCCTAATGTTTCATAATATTTTGTTTTTCATTTTTTGGAGGTTTGCAAAGCTCAAGCTGGAACAGACAAAATGCACACCAGCAAATAACTACAACTAAGCTGTACGATTTAGCTGAGCCTACAGGAAGTGCTGAGTACAACAGATAATAGAGGTTGGTGATATGACAATGTTATCGTTATTGTGATAAATTACATCTAGAAGATGACAGAAAGAGAGAAAAACAACCACTTTTGGTGTCATTTTGCATCCTGTTTCTTATTATGCTAAATAAAATAGTACTTACAGTATAGTTTTAAGTGTTTTTTTAGCTTTTAGCTAAGTTTTGCTTGTTCATTTTCTCTGTTTCAACTTTTTTGAAACAAACTCAGAAAAGATAAATATTGTGATACGTATTACACATCATGAAGATGTTTTCAAGCACTGCAACTGCATTTCTGCCATATTGTCAATGCAGTATTGCAATACTTGAACACATCTTCATATGTTTTAACATGGCAATGCCACATCAGCAATATACTGCATTTTTGCCATATTACCAATGCCTAAAATAAAAGTATTTATCTAGCACTAGTCTTCAAATCCAGACTTTTAATCAAGTTTCTGGTCCTGGATTTTGTAATCATTTGGTGGTCTTACTCAAGACGGCGAATCAGTTACAACAGCAGTTCAATAAACTACCAGTGATGACAAAAACCAGAAACAGAAACTGGATCAAAGGTCTAGATTTGAACCTCTAGAGCATCTCCTAAAGTCCAGAAATGCTCTTTTGGGTTCTCATGTTAGAGGTTCTGCATTGCAGTTTTGTTCAAACTGTAATTGATTCAACTCATCAGCTCCCCATCAATCGCCATCCCGAGTCAACAGTTCAGCAGGTTGTTAGCAAAATGCAGTAATGGCATCATGAAAAGAAGGCCAGAAGTTTCCAACCCAACAGCATGTGGTGCATTACAACAGCAATAAGCAGTAACATGCAGTATTATGCCCAGAGAATCATGGGAGTATGGTAATGCAGCTGATGGAAGGCCCAGGGACCAAAACACTGAACACACGTCTGTGGCTGTGCTCAGCAGGAGGCCTCCAGCTTTGTTATTCCTGCACGAGCTCATAAAATATGGAGCAGCCAGACAACAAGATCCGCCTGCAGACGTGCAGATTAAGCGCTGCAGCCATAAGAATGGAACACCATGTGTACGTGTGTGTGTTCATGTGTTCGTTTTCATATAACTTCAGGACAAAAATGGCATGAATGTGCAGAAACAACAGGGGAAAACCGCTAACCTGCAAGACCAAAGAACAGTCCTAACTTTGATTTAGGTTCATTTTTTTAAAGCCCCAGAAAACTGTCTATATAACAATATACAGAAGCAATACGTTTCCACACCTCCAAAGTTCAGTCTTAGAAGTTGGTTGCATTTTCTTTCTTATGGTCCAAGTAATCCTGGACCATGCAGTAATGTTGAGGTCTGGACTCTGGGGTGGTCAGTCTATAGATCAGAGAACAGCTGCAGCTTCTTTGATCTGCAAATGTTCTTTTTCATCTATTTTCTTTTCTCAGTAAGAGCTTCTTGAACAGCTACACATCCTTTCAGACCTACAGCCCTGAGTCGTCTTCTCACAGTGGAAGGATGGACAGAAACACCTGTGGATGTTTTCAGATCAGAAGCAGCTTGATTTTCTCCTCTCTCTCAAAGATGAAAGCTGTAAGCGCTGTTTATTTGAAGGGGACAGTTTTTCGATGCACCAGGTCTTGCATGGTTGTTGGGAGTCTCAGTTTCTCCAGTTTTAAGAGCTTCTGTTTTTTTCCACTTTTCCTTATGCAAGTAGATTATCTTATATCTTATCTCCTTAGAAACATCTCCCGAAAAATGATTATCTTGCACTAAATGGCTGTTTAGACTGGAAACTAAATAAATAAAGGGGGGTCTCTGACTTTTGCACAGCATTGCAGGTACTAATGTAAAAATTGCATGTCCTCGTGTCCTGACACAGCATAGAAACTAGTGTTTGTGTGTCCACCATGTGACCCACTGGAAATGCAGAATCCCTGTGTCCAGCTGTTCCACCAACTCCTTTAATCTGCCTCACATGGAAAACCAGGGCAAATGTATTAAAGGGCAAAGAACATCTGCAGTTGGCAGAGGAACCCAGGCCACACATGACCAGATCAATAAAAACCCTCTTAGAGGATGAACATGGAGCCAGAGGAAGAGAATGCACACACATACATGCACACGCTTAGGTAATGACCATTATGGTTCCACTCAAGACCATATCAATTCATCACTGACAGACTGATGCTGCACCTGGCTTTCCTGCATGTGCTTCACTAGACATGCACTTATCAGCAACATGGGACACCAGCTGAACCAGGCACAACAGCAACCAATGGACAGATGAGTTTACAGTCTAAGAGAGAATAAGATCCAACCGAAGACTCAGCTTGAAGAGAGGACTTAATCAGCAGACGTTCAGCACAAAGAGGGCTCTGCAGTCGGGGTTTTTTGTAGGTTGCAGGTATTTTTTCGTTTGCAAAGGGAGTTAATTTAAGCCCAGGATCATGGTTCATGCTAAATTGAGCCTGACTGGCAGGGTGTGCATATCCCCGAGAGACTGACTTTGAGGAAATAGTCTCTACTTAGAAGAGCCACTATGAGACAGATAATTAGTTTAAACACTGAACATACAGTCCTCCTCCATTCGAGCGCCGACCCACTCTGCTCACGACATGGAGAGTGGTGACACTGTATTCTGCAAGGGAATTCTGGGAATGTGAGCTTTCCAAATACAAGATTGGATTTTTTGTGGGGGGTTTTTGTGGTAGTTTATAAATAAGGTTAATACTTTTTATTAATTAGGTCATAAATACCTGAATCATCAATAAGCAGCTATAACAACAGTGACCTGTTAGATCTGACGAACATGTTCAATGAACAGGTTTAATACTGACTGACTGAAAAGACAAAGAAATTCAGTTTCTGAGATGTAAACAAAGTCAGTAAGAGTGGTTTGATGTGAAATGACCCATACAGAAACTTACCGACTCTTTATTTGCTTTATATTCTTTATTTTGTGACAGTGGTGGTGATAGGCACCAGGGAGTCGCAACATCTACTATGCAAATATAGCCATTTTATTTACTATTCAAAACACGTCCTCTGAGTTTTATATGCAATGCTGATAATGGTAAACCAGTGGTAATGCTGAATAAGTTTTCTTTGGGAACAATTTTGCCTTATAACACCCTGTATGTAGCCTTCCACCATGAACATTTTATTTTTTTTTTATAATGTTATAGACCAAAGCCTTAGGCAAAACTGAGGCCTCCTGTCACCGCCACCATCGTAACCATTTAATTATATAAAAAATTTAAATAATTGGCTGAATTCCCCTTTTAGTAACATCAAGACCTTAGTTTAACAGTAGAGATCAATGTAAACGTAATGAGTAACATTTATTACATAACTAATATCAATTAATAAACTAATTTTAAACCATTCAGAAAGTCTTCACAAACACAGCCTTTTTGTAAAGTGGTACAGTTTTTGTTCCATAACTTCCTAAAAGGCCTTTTTATTTTGTTCCTGGAGCTCCACTTCTGCACCAAAAGCAGTCATACTTCATTTTTCCATGATTTCCACACCTCCCTTTATTCCTTATAATTAAAACAGGATGTTTTTCCCCCCACTGTGCCTTTAAGAGTGATACATGTAAT